TCCTGATGCAGATATTGCTGTTTAATTTTAGCTAAAAATAAAATTTTTATCCTTAAATACTGTATGGCTAAGTAACAATGAAGATGAAAATTTTTGAGTTTAGGCCATAAGTAAAAATGCAATGGAAGTTCTAATAATCTTGCTGATGATTTTTTAGATATATTATCTTTTCTACACAAATGCTGTGAATAGACCTAGAAGGCACTTTGAATTTTGCTAACATTGACTTCATGCATATTTACATCTGTCTTGTTTCATAGAGCAGAAATATTCTATTTTTGCTTTTTTTTCTTGTTTTTGGTAAGATTCTTGAACAGAATTCCTGAGCATTCTGCTTCCAATTTCTTGACAGACAGAAATTGAAGTAGAAAAATGACAAAGAAAATATGTTGGGCATATTAAAGATTTTAGGTAATATTTAGATATCATCTAATACACATATTGGTTGGAGCCATACTCACACAATATTATAATTATTCCAAGGATTTTTTTAAATTTCTGCCTATGTCAATATAATGTAGAAATAGATAGCACGTTAGCCCTCTTTCTCTCTCACTCTATTAAATCACCATGATATACACAGTTATAAAATTGTTCATGATTGATTTTCAGCCATACAATGTTCCAACACACATTCCTTCACCATTGTACATTTCGCATTACCATAATGTCCTCAGTTTCCCTTCTTCCACCCCACCACCCCCCAGTCTCCCTCTACGACACTACAACAGGTGTTCTCTCTCATTTTTTGCACTCGTTGACATTTTCTTACCTTCTTCCTCCTTCTTTCCTACACTTATACTTTGTACTTCTGATTTTAAAAATCCTTTATTCAGTGACTAATAAAAACCCTTATCATTAGAAAGGCAGGAATCATTTCTGTTTGTGTATAAGTTGCACTGGAGGTAAACGCCCTCAGTGGTCAAATAATTCTAGTAATATCCCCAACAAAGATAACTTGAAATAATGAAAAGGACTGAAAAATGACAAGGAAAACATGCAGAAAATATAAAACTTCCAAAAGATTTTTTGTTGTTGATTTTGCAGTGCTCAGGGCTCATTACTGGCTTCTGGCACTGTGATCAGGGGTCACTCCTGCCCATTCTTCTGAAACCGTACGTATGTGGTGTCAGGAATCAATCTGGGGTTGGCCACATGCAAGGTAAGTGCCTTAGCCCATGTACTGTCTCCCAGGCCCCTGGTTGAAATATTTTTGTGGCAAGAGTGATGAAAGAGAAGATCAGAGAGGAACTGCAATTTCTACAGCCTTAGAGGTCTTGAGGAAGTGTCATGGAAGGGTGTTGAAACTGCCTCCTACTTGTTCAATTTTAATCAATCATAAAACAAAGGACAAAGTCCGTATCCAACTCCAGCCCAGTTCAGTTTGTTGGTGAACTCAGATGGTCCAGCTAGAAGTTTAGAATTTATTCTAAAGGCAATACGAAGACACCAGATTGATTTGAACCTTCTTATTTTATATTTTCTAGGTATAGTGTAAGAAAAGAGTGATGCTTCATGATGATTAAATAAATATTATAGTACTCCAGGTAAAAGGTGATAAAGGTTTGAGTTAAGGTGGTAGCAATGGATATGGATTATTTTAAATTATCAAAAAGTAGAACTATGGAACTTGGGAAACATATATGTCAATATATGTCATATATCAAAGTATATTTGTAATTTTCTTTCAATTCTTAAAAAAATATAAAATATAATTAAACATATATTGGATGTTTAAATTGAGAAATAAAATCAAATTTCTGCATTTCTGAGGGATGAGTCTGAAGTTAAAGACTGAAAATCCTCAGGTAATAACCATCATAGCCTGATAGCAAAAAAGAATAAGGAGCTCCAAAAATAAAAAAGGATAAAACAGTCACAAGAATTGAAGCTCCATTAACCTCAAAATTACGAATCAGACAAAATATGAAGAATCAATAGAGGCGCTATGGATCAATATATATTTATGTATCTGTGTATACTAATAATTAGTATACATAATACAGAGATACAACGTGTGTGTATATGCATAGAATAGTGTAGAAATAGGGTAGAAATCACTCTATTCCTACACTAGTAAATTGTTGCTACTGAGATTATCATTATCACGTGGTTTGAGAAGAGACCAACCTCTAGCTAACCACTCTGATCCTGTGCTTAGTTACAAAGAGCAAAAGAAGACAGAGAGAGAGAGAGAGAGAGAGAGAGAGAGAGAGAGAGAGAGAGAGAGAGTCCTAAGTCCACATTACTTCTAACTATATACATTTCAAATTTTTCGCAATGAAAAGATTACACAGGCAGGGGTTTTGTTAGAAAAATACTTTTTACTAATTTGGGTGGGGATGGGTACAGGACAGAGATTGTTATAGAGCATTATTCTAACACAAGATCTTTCTTTATAAGGTAGATGGAAAAAATGAAGAACGGTATCCAGGAAGTGAATCTTAACTGTTATGACTCATGAAACCAAATAAATTGAGTGTTATGCTCTGGAGCAATAGCTTTGCCTGTCCTTACACCTTCGTAAAAGCCAGAGAACATTCTCAATCTAAAATTCTCAGGCCCATCAATACTTCCTCAGAATTATTTAGAAACTTTATGGTTTTGGTTTCCACTTTATCAAGGTAAAGAGGTACACAATAAAAAGATTGTAAACTTTTGTGCAAAATGCAATGCAGCTTTACTGTTCATTTGTAAAGTCTAGTGCTGATTTTTGTCCTTACTTATATTTTAAAGATTAAATAAACATCTGAATTGTGAACATATCTATCATTAATGTCTCTCTATGTTTGATTCTATTTTAGGTCTCTTGAGTATACAATGCAAATTTATTTCTCTAAAATATAACATAGCTAATAAACCCTAAAAATTCTAACATGTAAACATGAAACATATAATTTAATTAATTTTTTCTAATAAAAATAATATAATTTAAAAGACTAGTTACAGTTCAAATCATATGTTGATTGCAAGATAGGTTTTTTTTTTTTTGCTTTTTGGGTCACAACCGGCAATGCACAGGGGTTACTCCTGACTCTACGCTCAGGAATCACCCCTGGCGGTGCTCAGGGGACCATATGGGATGCTGGGAATCGAACCCGGGTTGGCCGCGTGCAAGGCAAACGCCCTACCCGCTGTGCTATGCAAGATAGTTTTTAAGAATTTTCTGTATAAGCAAGATTCATAGATAAAAATGATTATCTCTATATCTTTTGTCACTAAGCATATTTCTTAAAAGACTACCTATGTATTTTAGAAATTGTTTGAACTAATGTTTATGTGTTCAATAAAGTTAAACTTAACATTAATAATATTAAATAATATAATAGTAAATAATTCAAAAATATTAAACTTAATACTAATTTAATAATATTAAAGTTAAACTTAAATAACTATATTTCTATTTATTTATAGTATTGGTATTCAGCAAAATTGATTCAAAGGTTTGTAGATCACTTTTTATTCTTTAGCTATTAATTGATATATATTTCTTGTGATAAAAAGGACTACATAAAACAGGATTGGAAATTTACAAGGGTTTTCTCTGGGACCTACAAACTATTTTATGATTTACTTATGGAATGGCACTCTGATTTGTAATAACATTTATCATCCTCCTGAAATTATTAATCTGTATAATTTTCTTTTTGATAACTAACTTAATCAGTTTGGTAATTTGGTAAGGATTTTCTGTACTGAAACAAATGATATAACAATGGTAATTTTTCAGCTCCAATTTTTAAATTAAAACATTACACTATTTCGCACTTAGCTGTTCAAAATGTAAACTGACAGGTAGAGTGTTCTGGATTCATTTGATATATTGTCATTTAGAGGAAAGGAAGCAGTGACTAGTCAAAACAAATATTTCAAAATGAATTTCAGAAGGCAGAATTATTTTAAAAGCAACTTTCACCTTTCTTTTTTTTCTTTTTTTCTTTTTCTTTTTTGGCAAGGGTATCTCTATTTTCTTTATTCATCTAGCAGATAAATTGAACTTTGGTGTCCTTACTCATAAATTTCCCCTTTCTAACGCATTTAGAACTAATACAAAGATACTAGATCAATGGTCTTTGATTAATCTAAAAGAAGACAGCTTTGAAAGGCTACATTTCAAGAAATACTACTAAATGTAATTCTATTAGCTACACTGAATAATCAACAGACATGTTTTCATAACCCTGAGTGAAATTGTTGAGAAAATGTCCGTTAAACAAGCCATCCATGTACAAAGATCTCAAAGTCAAACGGGTCCAATCGGTTATATTTTCCTATAGAACGCAACATTTGCATGATTCTCAGGAGCTAAAATATTTCAGCAGCTCAAGACTTTACCCATCACCCAAGAAGGGCGGTGGCCCCAAAAGAATTTTCCAAGCAAAGAAAAAAAATCCTTAAAACTAGCAGCAGAATAAAAACTTGATTCAAAATATATTCTAAATATATGCACAAAGCTAATATTTTATAAAATACCCAAATGTATTCTGTTAAACCTCATATAATTACATATTCTACAAGAAAGTTGTAGCAGTACTGGTAATTTGAGGAAGTGAGAGACGGGTTTGAAAGAGGGAGAAGTTTACATGCAAGCAAAGACGGATTATAACTTCAACCATGTTCACTTTTGGTTAAAGTCCTACAAATCCATTTATTTTATCATTGAAAATTCCTCAGCCTTACATAAAGACATGTTCCTGTACTTTGAGAGTTCAGCAATGTTGCTTTATCCAGTTCCTTGAAAAGTTCACAAACCAAGACCCAGATAGACAACTCTTTTCCTTTTAAATTGTAACACCCCCCTCCCAAACATTCCTGTCTTTTAGCACAGAAACAATGCATTTTATTGCAACATAACAAATTATCTGAGCTACAAACAGCTTTGATTACATTCCAGTGGTTTTCTCATTTGGGAATACCGCTGCTTACTTGGACATCTATTTCAAACCAGTGTGCCTCCACTCGGGAACAAAATAAGGATAGATTAATATCCGTGTACTTACCAGTCACAAACTCAACTGTGTCCAGAAAGGCAAAACCGAATGCCAACAGTTTAAGCCACAAATACATGGTCATATCTGGAGATCAGCCGTATTCCTATGAAACAGCATGCGTCCGTCTGAAAGGTAAAATAATGTTTATCAGGGCAAAAAAATTTTTTTCTCTGTGAAACCGAATCCAAAATAAAAGAAATAAATGCATACTCTTCCCTGTTGTCTTATCAGTCGGGGCAATTTCCTCCTCTGTAACCCTAAGAACAAACCACTGGCTAGCTACAAGAACTGCTAGGTAGTGATGTCAGATTCGGTTTTACTAACTTCTCCAAAAATACAGTGAAGGGCCCTCTTTGCAGGAAGTCAAGAAAGTTGTTCAAATGCAGAGAAAAGGCATCTTACTTCCTTAATTCAAGTAAGGAGATCAAATTTGCAGGCATTTTGAAAACATTTTCCCTTCCAGGAAGATGCTTGGTGAAGGTCCAAATGACACTCCCTTACAGTAGGCAATACTACTGTAAAAAAAAAAAAAAGAATTCAAATTCCCTTAAAATAACCAATAATTTTCTTACCTGTGAGATGGCAAAGTTTACGAAGCATGGGCATAACTAAAGGGCATAGTAGAGGATGAACTAATTGAATTGGAGCAAAGACTTTTGCTGTTAAATGACCAGAGAGCAAAGCACTATTTTAGGGGTTATTTTTGGCAACCTGCATCAGTAACCTTTAGGACATTCAAAACCATTTGACAAGAAAGTTTAGCAGTCAAATGCATTTCATATGCAAACGCGCTCTCACAGATCTTAACAGGTTTGCCCCAAATCTTTGACAGATATCCTTCAAGGCCTAGAAATGGAATCTGAATGTCCCTTTTTTTTTTTTAAACAGCAAATCCTGTGTCAAAAATCATCTAGGTCTTGCAATATCTTGGAGGTGTTGGTGAAGGAAAGACACGGAAAACAAGAACTATCTTTAACTCCAGCTAACCTGTTTTGTCTCAGCAATGCTATCCTAATACTTTTGATAAAAAAGATAGCCAATTGATACAGGAAATAGTCCTTTGATTCTGTTGGTGTTCTTGGTAAATCTATTAATTAGGAAAATCTAGAATGGCAAAGAGCTATTATGAATTAATCAATGCAACTGGTGTTACCATCATAATGTCTATCTGAATTTAAAAGTAATTAGGAAAATATACTCAGGGCATTATCATTTAAAGTAGAGATAATGCTTGGGGAATTTATAGAGAAACTGTAAACCCCAATTAGGAAGCTCTGTTATAGAGTTCCTATATTATGCAACCATGCCTTTTCATGTTTTTAAGTCTTTCTTTACAATTACTTTGGCTGTGCAAAGAGAATCCTGCATCTCAAAATCTGGATGAATAATGTGATGATAAGCCTTTTATTCTTACCTGTATCTCTGATACAGGGCAAACTTATTGGACTCTTTTCACATGCAGAAATTCATAGAGGCTTTTAACTTAAAAAAATCTAATTGTCTGACAACACAAGATAGATAATATTTTCTGTTTTATCTCTGATGTTCAGAGAAGTAGATGCTTCGCATAAGCTCTCTCAGCTAGAAAGTAGACAAATGATATTTTGAACCCATTTCAAATTGTCTTCTAACTTTCCTTGTCTTCTAAAATAGAGCCTTTATTTAGGCTCTTTTAAATAAGACAGAGAGGGGTCTGGAGCAATAGCATAGCAGGTAGGGCATTTTCCTTGCACGCGGCCAACCCAGGTTTGATTCCCAGCATCCCGTATGGTCCCCTGAGCACTGCCATGGGTAATTCCTGAGTGCAGAGCCAGGAGTAAACCCGGTGCATTGCCGGGTGTGACCCAAAACAACAACAATAACAACAAAAAAAGACAGAGAAATATCAGTAAATATATGCTCAACTCAGAAGCTTTCAGAATGGAGGAAAGAATGAAACAGTTTTGTTTCATTCTATTCATTTCATTCTATTCAGCCCAAGTGATAGTACTGCGGGTAGGTCCTTTGCCTTGCATGCAGGACAACCCAGCTTCAATCCTCAGCATCCCATACTTTCCCCCAATTACTGACAAGAGTAATTCCTGAGTGCAGAGCCAGGAATAACCCCTGAGAACAGCCAGTTGTGACCCAAAAAGGCCAAAAAATAGAAAAAGAAAAAGAAAAAGGAATCTGTTCTGAGGAAGGGTCTAGCAACTTGCCAGGAAGCAGAAAATAGCTCCCCTCTATTCATGGGCAGTACTGAATGCCTGGAATTCTGGGCAGGAGTTATGGCAGTTGCAGTCTTTGTGTGGCATCTAAGGAAATCTCCTCTGCTTCTCTGTTTTGTCGTCTGTGGGCCTCGCACCGAGGCCCAAGGCATGCAGCAGCTAAGAGCTCTCGTAGGCACAGGAGGTCCACTCTCACTGATTCTGTCAGGGACAGCAGACAAGCTGCTACCAACTGAACTTTTTTTTAAAATTTTCAATCTTTTTAAATTGAATCACCATGAGACACCCAGTTACAAGGGTTTTTGTGACTGGGTTTCAGTCATACAAAGTTCTAATACCCATCCCTTCACCAGGGTACATTTCCAACCACCGACGTTGTCAGTTTTCCTCCTGCCAACCTCCCCACCTGTTTTCTCTTCCCACCTTTCCCCCTCGTTGCCCCCAGCCTGCTTCTATGGCAGGCACTTTTCTTTTTTCTTTCTCTTTCACTCTTTCTTTTTGCTGCTGGGCACTATGGCTTGCAAGGTCTTGTCCAGAACCATCTGAACTTTTGAAAGAACTGCTGAGACAGGAAAAAGAGGCAGGAGTAAGAAAGTTTATGTGTACTAAATAACATGATGCTTCCTGAGGATTTGAAGCAGATTCTATGCTAAATAGTCCCAAGGTTTGATGAAGAAAATATCCAAAGTAATCAGAGATAATTGATTAAAGTAGATTTTAGAAGCTATAATATTTTAAAATAATATTTTATTTAATTTCATTTAATCATAATTTCCCTGATTTCAGTTCTATATAAGTAACAGTTATATAAAGATAGCAACAGACTACATGATTTTAACTGCAGAAGCAGATATTATTTATTCATTTAATAAATAAATTGTTATCTCCTAATACAGCACATAGTTTTGGACGTAAAGAAAAATAGTGGGCTCATACAGACACTTTCCCTGTTTGATAGAATCTATACATCAGTGAAAGTGACAGCAATTAGTTAACTAATTTCTGTAACAAGTTCAGCACACAGGATGTAGTTGAAATTCTGATTTCAGCATGTGAGAGGCTATTTAGTCTGGTTGGGAGATCCAGGACGTGTGGCTAAAATAATAAGCAATGAAGGTAGACCTGGAAAAAAAATCAAAGAATTTAAATGAGCCCCAGGAGAATGTCTGACCATTCTGTAAGAGAGAATCACAAATTTAAAGATGAAAATGTATCCAAGGAGAAGAATATATAGTTGGCACAGACAGAAGCAGAACCTGGATAAAGAAGAAAGCTTCAGAGGTCTTACAGGTTCTAAGAAACTGATTTTGTCATTTAAGATACTTGGGAGGGGTTGTATTAAGCACTGTTGTTATGATTGTCATTGACATCCATACTGTCAGATTTTATACCAACACTTATTTCTGTTGTCATTTATGTGACCACGCAGTATCATTAAAACATAATTAGCCTCTCCTCTAGTCATTAATTTTTGTCAATTTTCCAAACACTACTATCTACTAACTTCCCCTAATATACATTAGATTATCCTTAGCAGCCACCATATTGGATACTTTCTGCCTCCCCCTGACTTCTAAATACTGTGATGTATTAAAAATGCAGTCGGGAGCCCATTTCTGTCTTTCTGGGTGAGCAATTTCATTCTTATTCTGTCTTTTTCTATCCCACATAGGAGAAAGATCATTGTGTATCTGTCTGTCCCTTCTGTCTAACTGCACTCAACACGATCCTCTCCAGTTCCATGCATGTGCCAAAAACCTGAATGATTTTGTCTTTCCCCTTAAAATCTTATCATTAACCATAAGGTTAATCATGGCACTGAATTTTGTTTTAAACAATCCTCTGCTGTTTCCATGTTTTCAATATGTGAACTCAGTCTAGGTTTGCTTTAGTTAGATCTAGATTCTGTCTTTGGATTGGCAAATGGGATATTATAATCTTGGGTTTACTTGGGCGAAGGGACCTTGCATTACTAAAAAATACAATTTGAAAAAAAAATTGTTACACATTTTGTTGACATTAATAAGCCTGTATGTAAATAGGCTAATGACATACCTAATGACACACTTAATTGAAGAGTCTATTATTCTCCCCTTCTCCCTCTAGTCCTACTTGGAGTATTTTCATCATAGTCCGCCTGTGCCCAGGCTAGAATAAAGTGCTTCTTATCATATATTCTGTGAGTTTCATTATGATTCATGAAAAATGCTGTGGATGTCTAAGTTCCTCAAGTTGTTATAAGGACTGATGTATAGAGAATTGAAATGATTAGCAAACTCTGCCTAGCTCTAAGCATCAGGACAGCTTCTCACAAGAGTCTGGAGGAGAGAACACCTGCTTCTGGTAGCTCCAAGTTGTACAAAAGCATTTTTTGTGCTTATATCATTTCTGAAGAGCCATATTTCTTTGACAAGTAGCAAAAGATCAGTTTATGAGTTTATGAATCATATGTGTTAGAGAACTCACCTTCAGTTTGTCCTACAATCTGGTCTTTGTGAGTCCTTCTTACTCCAACTTTTATTCTGCTTTATTCTGTCTAGGCTAAAGAAAATGAAGTGCACACTTTCAAAATTCACATGAGGGCTTTCAGTAAAATAATTAGGGCTCGAGTAGAAAACTAGAATTTAAGAGAACTTAAAGGTTTAGAAAATGAAACAGTTGACACGTTGGGGAAACCAGTGGGAAACGGGAGAAGAAAACAGTTCATTCTTTTGTCACCTTTTTCGGTGTTTCTTAGTAGCCTCAGTTTGTGATACCACCAGCCATCCTGTTGTGAAAACAGAAACCTCAGAAACATTCTTGAAACTTACTTCTTCCAAATACATCATTTCCCTCCATCAAACTTCCAAATTATCATATAAGTGGATTGGTTTCTCTTCATCTACACCATCCACCCCACTTTTAGTCCAAGTTATGAACATTTATTGAATAGACAACTGAAATGTCTGCCTCTATATGTTTTGATATTGTTTCTCACTGGTGATCCAATTTTCACCATACCATTTATAGAGGTTGATTTTTTAAGTAAAATTGGCTCTTGTGAAGGTCAGAGACATAGTGTCAGGGCTAAGGC